TACTACTTACTACGTACTACTCTGTTGTTGGTCGTCCGTTACCCTTACTTTTACTTTACTTTTTACTTTACTTAATTAGTATTATTACTACCTAACGTAATTACTTTATTGTAATCTCTCTCTCTCTCTCTCTCTCTCTCTCTCTCTCTCTCTCTCTCTTAATTCATTCGAAATTGTTATACTATCCACAATGCTGTTAATATGTCTCTTTTCTTTTATTTGCTTTTTAGGTGCTGTGGGAGCTCGGATGGATTAAAGACCAAAGCTGCAGACTGAATTCTCAACCATATGAAAGAAATAATGTAGAAATTTATTAAATTAAATTTGTCTGTTTTAATAGTGTAGCTCATGTGGGCACATATTTTGTTTTGATGATCTTTAAAGGGATCCGATTTTGATAAGGCTTCATTCTTAACTGTTGTAATAGGACTGTGGCCATCAGCACCATCAATTTATTTGAGGAAACAAATATTCATGCTGACCATACACTGATGAGATCCAATGGTAGAGAAGTTGTTATTTGGTACCACTTTTTAGAAAATGTAAAACAAACGGACAAAATTTCAACGAGTCGCCTGCCTCAACTATTTAAATGAGTCCTCTCTTCATAAACTATTTTAAAGATGGGTTTTGGATTTATAAATTCTAAAGATTGAAAATCTAAACCATAGTAACTATGAACTTGAAAATAAAAACAATTTTTTTGTTAAAAAAAGAGATATTTTTAAGTATAGTTTTAGGACCCTTAGTTTTAAATCTGGGTGGAGCCAACTTTTGTTTGTATCCATTAGTTGACGCAATTGTAGAAATGGATGCCCTGGCGCACCAATTACTTTTCCAATACAAAATCACAAGAAAAAACAGAGAAATGGACCAATCTATTTCCTCTTCTTTCTTTATAATTAATTTAATAGATAATTGGTCTCTGTAGCTCCATATTGTTGATGTCCATGGGTCTCCTAGCTTACACATGAGAATCTAACAACAAAAAACATAAGACCCAGTGAGACCTACGAACAAAAAACATTAGACCCAAAGAAACCTACAAACATAAGGGGAGAAATTTAAAAAGTACTTCGTTTATCTTCCAGTTCTTTGACTGGATAGGTAAAATGATCCCTAATCATAATGACAATTCTATAGATTATATGTATTTTTTTATTATTTATAAAATATTTTGACACCAAATTTGGAGCGTCCATTCCTCTCTCTCTTAAACTCGCACCTGAAAAAAATATAAATAAAATATTCTTGATAAAATAACAAAAAAATTCCCTTAAAAGTTCTATGGGTATTTTGCTCATATTATTTTTTTGAAAATATGTTTTGAAACTTTCTTTAAGATATGATGACATGTACCCAATTTTATATTCAAATAATTGGTAAAAAAAAAAAATAGAAATAAAAAAATCTACACTATCGGATCTAGATCACACAATGGCTTACTTTGAGACAAGCAACCTCAGCCAGCCGTCCATTTAAATTGGATGGATGGGATGGATCGGAGGGGAAGGAAATATAGAAAGTCTTCCCCAAACATAATAAATACATTGAATTGAAAAAGAAGGAAAAGAAAAAGTAGTGAAATAAAAGGCTAGACCAGAACGTATTCGTCGTCGACCTTGGCTGTCGGAGATCTCCTGTACTGCTGAACCACCAACACTGATGCTGTCACGGAGAAATCCGACGACGATAGCAGGTCTCCGACGGGGCCAATCTCCGGGCACTCCTCCCAGTCTGTCATCCCGGACGTCAATGGCGACATCGACCTCCTCCCCTTCCCGACGATAAAGAGATTATACATCCCCTCCAAGGCTCGCAACTCGGCCACAGTCTCAGCACCGTTGCTCACAATCTTCTCTACATAGGCTACCCTCCCTGGCGTAACATACCTCTCATCAAACTCAACCAGGAACTGCTCGTCGAGATGCCTCTCCTTCTCTTGCTCCGACAGGTCGTCCAAGTCCTCCCTCTCCAGTGAAGCCTTCTCATCGAAGCTGCGCTGCGACCCCACGGGCTTGCGCTCCAGGAAGCGCACAAGGTTGAAGCTTACGCCAGGATGCTCGGCCACACGGATGCCGAAGGCCAGGGCCTCTCTGTCGTCTGGCCCCCCGAAGAACAGTACAGCCACATGGTGCGACACATGCGTGGCCGAAATCTGCGTGGTGCCCCCGAGGCCGCGGTCCACCAGCACCCCGACCGAGCACGGTGAGTGTCTTAGCACTTTCTGGTTCACCGTTTGAAATCCCTGTGTCGAAACCTCCATGCGCCCGTCGACGCACTGGTCCTTATGGAAAGGTAGAATTATGATGGAGGCTCGAACGTCTTGTGCGTTGTTCCTGATGTCCTCGTGCATGGTGGAAAAGGTGGAGACGGCAGTGAGATGGCGGACGACCACGCCGCTGGCACGCTCATAGGCATTGAAAGCAACACCGATCTGCTCAGAGCGGTCGCGCGCCTCGTCGGCAGGGGTGGCCTCAGGCTTGGCCTGAGGGAAGGCGCAGCGGTCAGTGATGGGGACGAGCTGCATTGCATAGATGGAGATGGGGGTCTTGGAGGCAGGGCCGCCACGGGAGGCCTCAAGGAGGTTGATGGAGGCGGGGACGTTGCGGGGTCCGTGGACGCAGGCGAGGACGCGGAGCTCGCTGCCGGGCTTCTGCCACTGGAGGGCAGTGTGCCGGTAGTGGGCGACCTGGCGGGCATGCTTCACGATGAGGTTCACTAGGGGCGGGACAATACCGATGGTCAGGAGGATGCACAGGATTAGGGCCACGAAGTTGCTATGGCTCAGGTGCTGAAAGGCATGGGAACGGAATAAATGCTTCCACACAAACCCAACACTCTCTATAATTTTGGATCAGGACTATAATTCATTGCTAGCCTTTAATTAAAGGGTGCGGTTTGTATAGATCCAAGGCTCGAAACAATCAAAGTAGAGCGCTCCTTCAAAACAATGTAGATCGAGTAGACCTATGAAAATTTGAAATCTTGAAAATCGACAGTCCATTACAAATATGCATTATTTTTAAAACTTGAAATCGAAATCTTGAAAATTGACAGTCCATTACAAATATGCATTATTTTTAAAACTTGAAATCGAAATCTTGAAAATTGACAGTCCATTACAAATATGCATTATTTTTAAAACTTTAAATCTCCCAAGATATATTATTTCCAAAAATTTAAACCACATATCTGATTATATTCTTTTTAATTAAAGAGTTTGTTTATAATGAGACCATTTGGTTTTGGTATTGGGATGTCACACTAGTCACTAGTCTTAGTCATTGGATGTGAAATCTCATATATTGAAGTGTATCATAATCTCCAAGAAATTTTGTTAAGGACTTTGTTAAGCACATATTGAAGTGTATCATAATCTCCAAGAAATTTCGTTCAGGACTTTGTGAAGCAATACGGTCAATAATAATTATGAACTCTTTTTCTCCAAAGTAAATGATCATATTATATGCATTTCTATAAGGGAAAGTACAGATTGAGATCATTTACTTTTGATACAAAGTGGTCACAATAAACATGACCATTAGATGTAAAATTGAGTAGCTGCAATTATTGCATTGACCAAGCTCAAACTTCAAAAGAGATTTTCTCAAACTTTGTGACACATCCATGCAATCAAATTTCACATCAAATGGTTGTAAAGAATTGTGACTACCTTGTATCAAAGGTAAATGGTCTCATTATATATAATCCCTTTAATTCAAACTATGCCATGCATGTACGAGTTAGTTCTCATTGGGATAAAAATTAAAAAAATTTACATATGGTCGGAAATACAAAATTTGGTATTCCCCTATGTTCCATGTTTTTAGCTCTATTATAGTATAAGATCATATCGAAGCTCTTATTTTTTTAGCGCTTTTTAATTTTCATTTCATCCTTGCATTCAAAATTCCAACTTTCAAATAGCTCAAAACACAAAAGTGATATATTTCCAAGTGCGTGGAGTTAAAAAAACAGATGTATCAGGCTATTCAAAAGTCTAAAACTTTTAAACTTCCTAACATTGGAAAAACCAAGGTGTTGCAGCGGTGCAAAATTCGAACTTTTGAACCACGCATAACATAACATTTTTGTGCTTTGGGTTATTTGGAAGTTGAATTTTCAGCTTCCCAAATTCAACATATCTCGTATTTTGAGTGGTTCAAAAACTAGACTTTCGATGTGCGAGTAAAATAGAAATTAAAAATCTAAAAAAAATATGACATTAATGAATATGACCAAAAACATGGACACGTTGTAATACCACACCTTTATTGGTCCATACATAATTTTTTCCTGAAAATCGTACTTAAAGCGAATTGAACGGCAAGAAAATTCCAAACTTCAATTGTATTTTCTAATGACATGATTATTAAAAGGAAATTAATTATAAAAATTTCATAAAATTTGAATTAGAGTTCAAATATACCTTGGAGATATTACCCATGTCAAACTTGTAATTAATGAGGTTAGAAGGAACGCCCCATTTATAAGAAAATATGTTATTTTCAAATGAGGGTGCAAGCAAATTGAAATTTTTGGAACCATCTACGTATCATATCCTTTTTTAGGCATAGGAAGAGTCTTTTTTTTTTCCTTCGAGGTTGGTTACGAAATTACATTATCAAACCTTGAGATTTAAGAAGTACTCGTAACATGAGTTTTGCCTGAAAGAGTAGATGGACAGTTTACAATCTATATAACAATTTAAAATACCACACACCACATGAGAACTCTTTTATGGAAATAATGATATAACTAAGGATACCTCGAAAGGATGATCTAACACACGACTTACCCACAACCCATCTTTAGTAATAGACCTGGCAACGAGCCGGGCCGGTCCTTATCGGACCGGACCTAGTCAGCCTTGTAACGATCAGACAGTGGCCCCTTTGGACCGAATAGGGCCAAAGGAGCCATGGCCATAGGCCAGGTCCTGGCCCAGGCCCAAGCCCTAGGTTTTGTGGCCCAAAACCTTGACTAGGTTTTAAGGGCTAGACCAGTGTTCATAAAATCTAACCGGAACGGTTAGCCCGATACGGGGCTGGGAGCGATTGAATCGGAACATGACTAACTGGGGCAGTTAACCAGACTAACCGGTCAAGTAGATTTTTTTAAAATAAATGGGTCCAAAACTCCGAAAAGAAATTAAAAAAATGGAAATACTTACATTAAGTGTATAATATCTTATGACGTATATTTATCTTACAAAAAAAATTGAAACAACATTTTATAAATTAATATTTGAATACTATGGTCCTATACATGAAAATATCTTAGGATATTTTTTGAACATATTTTGTCATAAAACATATTCTTCCAATAATTAACATATTCATCCCAAATCTTACATTGAAAACTTTCTAGTTTTTTTTGTACAAAAATCGCTCACATTAGGAATAAAAGTTTATTCATTGTTTTGCAAATAACAAAAGTAGCATGATGCTATTAAATCAAATAAAAATGCCAAGTAATCAAGACAATAAATGGAAAGGACCTCTTCCATATAGTTAGATAAAGCATAATTCACACAATACTTTTTCGATGAAGTATACTTCACATGAAGTACACCTCATGATATGCAACAAAATGAAAAATCACTGCACTGCATACTGATATGTTCTAATGTTCTTATATGTATCTGCCATATCTATATGAGTGTGATTTGAAATTAAGATCACCTTTGTAAACTCTCTCTCTCTCTCTCTCTCTCTCTCTCTCAATCCGGCCAGATGGAGATCGACCAGTGACCGATCCGGAGTTAGTCAGTCGATTTTTTAAAAATCGGGTTATCTTTTAAAGGCTCTTTCCATAACATTCCAAAAACTTTGATAGAAAATGGAAAAAAAAAAAAAGAGAGAGAAGAACCAAATACATACAAGACGATGGTTTAGTGTTTCATTGAATATAAGACAACTAAAATTTTTACATGCACTTAAAAAAACAAAATGTCCCATTTCCATCATTACAAATATAACTATATCATGCACTTAAAAAAAACATAATTCAAAAAAATCGAGCAACATTATCATGCACTTATCACAAAGAAGAATCAAATTCATCAAAAAAATATATTTATCAAAATGAATAATTTTATGAAGCAAAATAAAAAAACACTTCCCGTATTCATAAAAAAAAACGTAATTTTATTAAAAAATCATAATTCTGCTAAAAATAATTTTATTAAGCAAAATAGAAAAACACTTCCCATATTCATCAAAAAATCATAATTATTTAAGCAATATAGCCAAACCCTTCCCATATTCATCAAAAAATATAATTTTATTATGCAATTTTTTTTTTTTGAAAAATCGATTTTTCAAAAACCAAAAATTTCGAGCAAGTTCGACCAAGAAACGGCCCTCAATGTTTGGATAATCGAACAAATATACATCCATGCATTGTAAAGGCTTCGATCATCTTTCAAACGCACCAAATATCATTAAAAAATATTCCATATTTTTAATTTAATTGAAAAAAACGTGAAAATTTCAGATCTATGAAAATTTCATGATATGGTGTAAACGAAAAAATTCATATAAAAAAAATTAATCAATCATAAATAAACATACCAATTTTATTTGAGATATGAAGCCTCAATGATCGAAATCCATGACTCAATTTGATAAAAACAACCACTAAATGGATAAAAAATCTGCGTTTTGGATAGAACACAGATTCTCTGAGCAGCAGCATTTCGGGCAAAAATAAACCCTTGATTTTTTTGTTTTATGAACAAATTAAAACTTGAATCTAGTAAATACTTGGAGTAGCAATCAAAACCCTCAAATTTCTTCAAGAACCATTAGGTATTGAGGAGATTATTGGAAAAATGGTGGAAATTTTCAAAAACCCAAAAATTCTATCATTTCAATCCAAGAAATTTTTTTTTTTCGATGTTTAAATCTAAATTACTTGTTTTATATTCATTATATAGTGATTTAAACTGTTAAAACATGAAAAAAACCAAAAATAACCGTAAACCGAATAAAAAAAGGTGAAAATTTAGATTCATAGGTTTTCTGCTACATAGAACGGGCTCTATGATAAATAATGACCGTTATATTGGCATTATCGTTATATCGAGCGATAAAAGAGGTAAACCGGACCGGTTAGGTAAAGAGCCGGTTTTGAGAAACCGCCGGTTCGATATTGAACCGATCGGTTTTGGTGCCGGTTTTTTTTGGAGAGGGCCATCTAATGAGGTGTGCCGCAAAACCAGCCCTAACCGGACTCGCCACGCTACCGGTAACGATCTAACCGGCAAGTTCCGGTTCTTACCGGCCGATTTTGCAAACACTGGGCTAGTGAGACTAGGCCACGCTGGCCGCTCAGGCATCCTCAAGTCTACAATTAGGTTTTTGAAAATTAAGGTTGGCAACAAGTCGAGCCAGCCTTGGCCTGCCCCTGTCCCCATAGGAGCAGCCAATCCCACCGAGCTAGGGCAGGCCAGGCCGGACCGGGCTAAAAACAAATTAATAAAAAGAAACAAAAAGGGCCAAGCTGGGCCGAAACATGCCCTAGCCCAGTCCTCGGGCTGCAGTTTGTGCCCCAATCCCGACTTTTTAGGGTCAGGCCGGGCCGCCTGGGCCATTGCCAGGACTATTTAAAATAGAGTTGCTCGCATACAAGCAGAGAGAGTGGGTTTAAGAAAAGTAGGAGAGAGCATGTACCCACCCCACTAGCGACGCCCATATTGAGTGCAATGAAATGCAGGTGGCCCTTAACGTTCATCAAGAAGCTAAGAGCGAGGGCCTCGAGCATAGGCATCCTTAACAAATGGGCCGCCCCGAGGGTCCCAACAATCTTCCCCAAGGTCCCGACCCAAAAGACGACTGCGAAAACCTCCCAGGGCTCGGGGCTCTTCATCCACTTGAGGTCGGTGAGCTGGCCACTGTAGCAAAAGAAGAGCGGTATTCCATAGGTGTAGACAACGTACCCAATTCTATCTGCCAAAACCCTAGAAAGCCTTCCCTCTGATGGGAAGAGAAGGCCTATCATGAACCCAGCCAAGGTACTGTTATACCCCCAGTAACTGCACAACGTTGTGATCACGAGTATCCCCAGAACCACCCCCCCTACGTGGGCCCGGTTCACCGGGACCCCCTCCGGATTCCGCCCGTTCATCCACCGGACCAACGGGCCAACCAAGTACTGCATCAACGCCACGAACCCCACCATCGCCGCGAGTCGTTGGGCCGACTCGATCATCCCGCCCCCTCGCGGTGGGTATGCGGCAGAAGCAACCGATACGAGCATGAGGAAGGCGGTGTCATTGGCGAGACCGGCCTGAGTGGCGAGGCGACCCACGGCCGACTCCCCGAGTTTCAGCTGCGTTGTGAGGCTGCTCAAGGTTTGGGAGGCGGTGTTGGACATGGCAATGGCCAGGATAAGGGCTACCGGGGCATAGGGGAGGGTGTGGCCTGTGACGTTCATGAGGATGGGGGTGACGGCCAGGGAGAGGATGGAGGTTGCAGCAGCGCCAGCGAAGGCAATGGCACCCACACGCTTGCCTGAGGACCATGGTGCCCAGGGGTCCATGTTGAGCCCGATAAGGAACGTGTAGAAGGAGAGGCCAGCCCACGAGAGGAGGCCCACGACTTGCATGTTCTCCGGCCGGAAAAGATCACTGAGGCCAAAGTTGCCAAACCCGCTCGGGCCCAGGATGATCCCCGCCTTCAAAAACACATACCCAAAACTTGTTACACCCATAAATGATCAAACATATGGATGAAGATGGAAGAGAAGAATGGGAAGGTACCAGGATTTCTGCTACGATTTGGGGCTGGCCGATGCGCTTGAGGGGGACCTGGAGGACCCTGATGGAGACCAGCATTATGCAGGTCTGCATCACCACCACGGCGAGGCTGAAGTTGGAGACATTTTTTTCTGACCCAGTCGCCTCGCAGGACCCGGGGGCCCGTGGAGGGGCGGTGCTGTTGGTGGTGGCCATGGCTCGGACTTCTCAATCTACTCCGCCTTTCATTGTGCTTTATGGTGGCTCTTTTTTACTGTGCGTGGAGGTGGTTTTTCACTTGTTGAAGATGGTGATGGATGCAATGCAGGAGAGATGAAATGGGGGAAGTAGAGAGATGCTCAAATTCATGCAAAATTTTGGCAACTTTGAAAGTAGCTTTTCTCTCTAATCTCTAAGGAGGAGTTTAGTTACAGGCTAATGGTTGATAGTTATTCACTATTTTCTCTCTATATTAGGGAGAGAAGGTGGTTTTGAGAGAAAATAGGAAGTGGGTGCATGGAAGTGGTCTGTAAAAAGCTTGTGAAGCCTATAAATAGGCACAAGTTACAGGTTATGAAGCATGGTGGGTTTTGGGTCGGAGAAGTTTTTGGTGGGTCAAGGCGCACAACGTCGGTCCTAAAGCTTACTCCATCCACACAATTCAACGGCTCAGAGTCGTCCGTACGCCTCATTCCTCGGATTAGACCTCGCTCGATCTTGTATTTTATGTTTGAATTTTATTTTTAATGTAAATCTAAATCATTTAAAATATCGAACGCCTATCTTTTTCATTTATAAAAAAAATATAACTGACGTAAATAACTCTTAATTTTCAAAGATATTTTGCTCAGATCGGCTTTTGCAAATTACTTGGTTAATATTTTTAGGATTTATCTCGAGTTAACCGACCCATCAAAATTACAAATGTTCAAGTTATAAGGGGTTGTGATGGGGTGTATTTATTAAAACAATCATTACTTTTTCATTAAAAAATTGTTCAAATAGGTAAATTTATCATTAAATAATGACAAATTTTAAATTTTCACAAAAATATAATAGTATTTTGGAAGTTAGTGTTCTAAAACTTTATTTCTAAAATATCCTTGTCTTTTAGTTAAAATTTTAATTTTATCTCTTATGGAGATGACAAAAATACTTTTTGTCTTGTAGTAATATTTACAGTTTTATCTTACAAAAGTAATTTTTTTAAAAAAATAAATAATAACATTAAAAAATCCACCCTTCACAACGCTCTCTATCTTGACCCTTTTGTAATTTGAAGAGTTGTGAAGTTTAGAATATCCCATATTTTTATTAAGTTTGCTTTTTTTTTGGTGAGTACACATCCTGGGATTGACAATGAATTAGCACGAGATAATTAGTCTGGGATTGGATAATTAAGATTGCGGTTGAATAATTAGTGTGAGATAAGTTTTCATGAGTACATAGGATGATTAGTGTGAGAGTGGATAATTAAGATTGCGGTTGGACCTTGTTCGTAAAATGGCCTAATCTAACTGCTAACTGCTTGGTTAGATCGGAACGGCCAGAGACCAGTTTCGGTTTTGGGCGGTTAAGGTGATCAACTGGTATTTAAAAAAAAAAAACTTTACATGAATTCTCAAAAATAAGAAATTTGTTTTGTAATACATTTTTAAATAGTATTTACATTATGGTAAAGATTAAAATTTGTTTTAGTCATTAATACTCACTTTTATATTTTCCCATCTTTTGTAAAAAATTTTAAAAATAGCTCTTATAAAATATAAAATGGGTTTAAATCTATTTTTCTTTATTAATTTTCAACTTCATTTGAATGTGTCTTGTTTTAATCATTCTTTATATGTTTTTCATCTTTTAGTAGATATTCTTTTTGTATTGTTTGTATTTTTTTTCACCACTTTTTTTACCACATGGGACTTACCTGGTTAGAGCGATTGAATCAGCCGGTTTACCGGTTAGGCCTGTTAAACCGCTTCCAAACTCATGTCCGGTTAACCGTTCCGGTTCGATTTTGCAAACATTGGTTTAGATAATTACTATGGGATAAGTTTTTATGAGTACGGGATTGAGAGTGAATTAGCATTGGATAATTGGTTTAGATAATTACTATGGGATAAGTTTTTATGAGTACGGGATTGAGAGTGAATTAGTATTGGATAATTAGTGTGGGATTCGATAATCAAAATTGTTTGTTAGTATGGGATAAATTTAGGATTGAGTCCTATTAGAATTAGGACAAACCTATACGAAATAGGTTTAGAAAGGGAAAGAAAGCCAAAGATTTATGGAATGGTCATTTTCATGCGTGTTAGTTCAAGTTAGTTTGTTCTTCTCCTTTATAATTGCTTGGGTAAAATTTTATTGTCCTTGATTGTTACGATTTTTTCTGTTTTTTCATCTCTCTTTGATTTTGTCAGTTATACTTTTTCTTGATTCTTTTGGTTTCAAGAAAACGTAAAAACTATTATTTTTTAAAAAAATTTAATTATAAATAATTCTATTTAATGAGCATTTTTAATCTTTTTATTATATATATAGATATATATATATACGGAAATAAACGCGACGATTGCCTCTTGTAGATTGAGAGGCTGGTTTCTTTTTGAAAAACAATTCGAATGGAGATTTTGGGTAGTTTGTAGTTTCCCCATTTAAGGGGATAAACTCTATCTCTCGCGGTTCGAATGGATATTCGGTTCAAATGGAGATTTTGGATAGTTTGTAATTTCTCCTTTTAAGAGTGTAAACTATGTATCTCAAAATAGACGGGTCTAGTGGAATAGAGATGGGAGATCAATGGAGATTTTGGGTAGTTTGTAGTTTTCCTTTTAAGGGGATAAACTTTGCCTCAAAAGAGATGGGTTTAGTGGAATAGAGATCAGAAATCAGTGGGGGGATGTCGGTCAAGAGAGTAGGCCTAAAAGGATGGCTCGAACGATTTTGTGGATGATTAAAGAGGTAACTCTGCGTCTCAAAATTTGTGATGTAACTTTTATTGATAGGAAAAAGTTTATATAAGGATGCAACCTTATAATGTAGAACTACGGATGCAGCTCAAAAATCCGTCGGAAAAAGTAGATTTAATGTTAAAAAACCATTTGATTGATCATTTATGATCATGAAAAATAAAAAGATTTTAAGTCTAACAAATAGTGCATTTTACAACATATTATCTACACCGTCCATTTTCAAGTTTTTCATATGTTTATAGACCTACTTGATTTTAATCATTTTTTAAATTTAAAATTTTATAATTAGATATAAAAATAGATTTTGAGATAATCGTAAGAACATTTTACATCAAAATTATATACCATAATAAAATTTGAAGGTGCATCTTACCTATACAGCTACATATGCATCCGTATGCAACTGCACCCTTACTGATATAGTAGATTTTTAGTTGCCATGCCCTACCCCTTTTAGGGTGAACTAAGTCAATCATTTCTTACTAGATAATTACATATTTTTTGTGGGATCCAAGTTTTTGAGATTCATATTTCTACATCTAAGGGGACTCTTAAATCTTAACGTAATCAAATGGGTTTTTACTATTCTTTATTGGCCATTACATCACAAAATGTCCTTTCAAAACCAATGTTTTACATTTTTTAATGAAACCTATGCAAATGCTAGTCATCAGTTTGTGTGCAATCAAATTTTTTCTTGTCTTTTAATTGAATAACATATTCGCCCAGTTTGAACAGTAACTGTAGCTGTACGACTCTAGGAAGATTAAATAAATAAAAGAAAATTTCATAAAAGAAATCGCCTCTCTCTCTCTCTCTCTCTCTCTCTCATTCCCAGGACAACACAATCCAGTTCTTCATTCAACCCATCCCTACCTTATCTCTCATCCATTTCCCTGAATTATAAGCAAAAATAATCCAACCCATCTCTCTCTCTCTCTCTCTCATCCACTTCACCCCTCAGACCCCTACCTTGAGAGAGTTGTAGAGGTTAACATTCAAATAAAAAGAAAAAGAAAAAAGAGAGAGAGATGTAGAGGTTGAACTGATCTTTAGTGGTAGAAGAGGAGGTGCCGGAGGCGGGGTAGACATGCCGGAATGGGGGTAGAGAGAGATGCGAAGCACTGCCTTTTAAGTTACATGAGCTAAGGGGTTTATATAGATTTTTTTTTAAGCAACGGTGGATGTTCAAAACTAAAGAATTGGATGAAAAAAAAAATATATATATATAATAGAAATTTATACAAAACTAAAGAATTGGATGAAAAAAAAAATATAAAAATATAATAGAAATTTATACAAAACAAAAATTGACCAAAAACATCATGCGTAAAGTGCAAAATTACTAAATAAGACTATAAAAAATGGCCTCTTCCCACCCACATTACATGGGACCTTGGTTTACGCTTGTTTGACACCAAAATGGAACGATCTATCACTAGAAAGGCGTAGATCGTCTCACCAAAAAAAAAAAAATCATGGAGATTTGATGGAGTTCTTAATAATTTTGGATTTCATGGTTTCCATTACAATTTTGCTTGTGTTATTGATCGATTACTTTGAAAATGCCAAGTTTATTGTGACTATTTTGTTGAAAAATCGAAAGGGATCTCGGGGACGAGATGATTAATTTGAGGGTTTTCCATCACAAAAACAACTTTTTCTAGTGGGTTTTCTAGGTGCACCTCACTTGTACAGTATAAGGTTTACACCTTATATAAACTTTTTCCTTTGGCTGAGTGTAGGGGTGGGTGTTGGTTTAGGTTCAAAAAAGAGCCTCTTGGGTTAACAATGTGGTGGTGCGCTTAAAACCTATTGTAGACTTTATGAGTATCGTTGAAAAGGTATTTGCCCATATTTTTTTGGAGAGGAAAGGGCAAAATAGAGAATGGCGGGCGAGCAATTAAGTTTTGGGCTGTGGAAAGAAGTGTCATTGATGTGTCTTTTTGTCGGCACTAAAAGTTGCCATCAGATCACCAAGATTCGACACTCATATCACCAAGATTAGACACTTTATGGAGTTTAAGTTTTCCATTTGTCATGGAATTGCCCTAGAAATTTTTTATTTTAAGGAGTATACTATCTATTTTTTCCATGGTTGAAAAAATCTAACGGGTTAAGCGGTTCAATCGATTTAATCGGTAAACGGGTCGGTTCAACCATTTTAGTCGGATAAGTATTGGGCGGTAAAAAAAGTGTTCAAAAAAATAAAAATACAAAACATTTACTAAAATATAAAAAGTATAGTTACATAATGATTAAACAAAACATGTCCAAATGAAGTTGAAAATTAATAAAAAAGTTAGTTTGAGATAATTGATTTGTGCTCAAAAGTATTTTTGAAAATTTTAAAAAGATGAAAAAAAAGTAATAATAAATATTAATATCCAAAACAATATCCAAATTTTATATAATGATGAAAAAGATTAAAAATACATTATAAACAATATCCCTTGTTTTTTGGGATTTGATAAAAAAAAATTATTTTTTATTTTAAAAATATCCAGCTGGTCTCCAAACTGGCCAAAAATCAGAATCGGCTAGTGGCTGGTTCTGATCTAACCAGGTGGTTATCGATTGGATCAGGTGATTTTTCCAACAATGATTTATTCCCTCTTCAAATCTTACTCCACCAATATTTTTTAGATCCAGGATGGGATCTTTATTAGAAATTAAAATGAAGGGTTTATATAGGGTTACGGCTTTATGCTGTTAAATAAGATGTCCCACAAAAAACTACAAAAGAGAGTGTTTTGATGTCGGAGAACCCTCCAATTAATCGTATCGGGATGTATACATATAAGATAAAAAGAATTCCAAATTCAAACAATATTGCATCATGTAACTGTTTATTTTTTAAAAAATCTCAAGTATTTATTGATCCACTTGTTCTGTAATATTTTTAAAATTTTAAAATTTATAATAAGGTATAAAAATAAATTGACCTCTCTAAACAAATTTTAGAGGTGGCACTATAAGGGGGCAACTTTTGTGCTTAATTGTATTCACAAAAAAAAAAAAAAACACCTTTTAACTTTGGAAAAAGTTTATATGAGGGGCAACCTTAAAATGTCGAACTAAATATGCACATAAAAAATTCATCAAAAACTATTATTTTAATATTAAAATCCTTTAATTGAATATCTTGACATCGAGATGTATGAATATAAAATAAAAAAAAGATTTTGAGTCCCATAAATAAAGCATATTGCCACACATTATATATACCGTCCATTTTCAAGATTTTCATATGTATATAGATATACTTGATTTTAATAATTTTTGGAGTTTAAAATTTTATAATTAGATATGAAAATACATTTTGAGATAGTCCTAAAAACTTCTTACACCAAAATTAATTATTATGATGAAATTTGGAGGTGCGCCTTAATTGGATTGTTTAAGGTTGCAGCCTTACGAAACCACACCCTTTTAACTCTTTTACACCTGCTACAAAAAGAGAGACTTTTTTACTAGAATGGAATTTCTAGGACTTCATTAAAAGATGAGAACATTACCCCTCTTGGTAAAAATTAAATAACATAACCCCCTCTCATAAAATACATTGAAATTTAAATTAAAGGAAAAAGTTTATATATAGCCGAGGCTCTAAACAATCAAATTAGAACCTACCTCAAAAATTTCACTAAAAAGGTTGTTTTGATGTATAAACATCTTTAAATTTATCATCTCGGCATCAAGATACATGAACATGAGAAAAAAACGGATTGCAAGTTTTGGAAATAGTGCATCTTGTAACATATTTTTTGACCGTCAATTTTCAAAATTTTAAAGTTTTCATATATTTGCTCGATCCATATTATTTTTTAACCTTTAAATTTTATAATCAAAGATGAAAATAAATTTTAAAGCTATCACAAAAACTTTCAGTATTGAAACTGCATATCTGGACACTATTTAAAGGTGGGCTCTAATTTGATTGATTTGAGCCTCGGCTCTATACAAACTGCACCCAAAATTAAATCCATTGTCCTTTTATATAGAATTAAACTTTCATTTTATAAAACAAAAAACGAAAAAGAAAAAGAAAGGATATCTGCCCCTTGTTCACCAGGCTGTTTCAGTGTGAGGTTATTCGAGCTCCTGTTCGAAAAGCCTGAAACTTCAAGGAAAAATGGCACCGAATTTACAGGCTTTTGAGCTTCTCCTGTACTTTTTTCCACATCTAGGATTCTGAATCTCTTTGTACATTTTCCGTTTTTTTTTTTTTTGAGCTGATTAGCCGTGACTTTGAAGCTTGTGGCCACCGTTCCAAGAAGGCGGAACCCTTACTCTGGTACGTTTGCCACTGGGAGCGAAACCCTAGTCCTGTTCTTTTTTCCATTAACTGTATGAGCATTCTTATGAGCGTGCTGAACGCTAGCACTGAGCGTTACTATCTATGGTTTTAACTTTGAATCCCTCAGCATTCAGCTGTTTTTTATTCTTCTTGTTATCTCTAGGTATTCTGCACTGTGATGTTGTTCTTATTTGGCTATTGAGGCGCAATTGCAGAGAGAGAAAATGTTTGGCTTTTCTCGTCGGCGAATGAAACTTGGAAGGTTAGTTCTTATTGCTTACGTGCTAAGCTTTTTATGTTGTAGGGGCTCTATTGCCATAAAATGTTCGTTATGTTTGAATTGTTAGTGGATTTTCTTTGGCTTTCTTTATCTGTTTATACTTTTCTCTGTTAGGCAGTGGAAATGTCTTAACTTGTTATTTTCCTTTTTTGAACATTTGTTATTTCTTCTAGCTTTTATTGAGTAAGACGTTTCGAGGAAGTATAGATATGGATCTATGTTTTGTGCGTTAATTTGGTTTTGCATAGAGTTCTCTCTCTCTCCCCTCCTCGACTCCTCCTCCTCTTTTTGTTATTTATTTATTTGATGGGCTGATATTTAGGATGTCTTCACATCTGAATTAGATGTTCTTGCTAATGGGGAGTTCGGTAGATTGAGATTTTGATAGTTTAAAGAATTGACTTCTAGATGCCACATAATTACAATTTGGTCCAAGTAATTGCTTTGTCTCCTTGAAACTAAGATTGGTTTTGGTTCGCTTGGTTTTCAGACTAGAAATAGGACATGGCGTGTCTTCAATGAGATTAGGGGCTTAGAGTTCCACTGATCCTGTCCAGTGTAATTAGTGTTATGCCGACTTCTTTCCTGATACAATAAGCATGTTTGCAGTGGTCTCTACTTGATTTTGGTCTGTAGATTTGTATTCTCAGTCTTTGGAAGTTTTTTAGCAGTATAAAATCTGAATTTCCAACTTGAGAAAACACTCTTGAGTTAACTGGATTTGTCCAGTGCCCAAGTGTTACATTCAAATTTGGGATGTGCTTGAGTTTGTTCTTATCTGCAACTTTTGTGTTGATTCAAAGGGTAAATGGTCTCTTCCAGTATGGTAGTGGTGAGGTGAGACGTAGGCGATAAGTTGCCATTTAATTCTTTAGGGGTCCATATAATATGATCCAAGTCTGCAAATGTGTCAGGTCGACCTCAATGCGTCAGTGTACAGGAAAGACCCGGACTCAGACCCAACCTTCTGGATCAGGTTGGAGTTATATAGAGTGTGCCAGGACTTGCCTTGGCCAGGGGACTCGCCGAGTGATTATATATATATATATATATATATATATATATATATAGTACGTATTATATATTATTTTATTTTTAGTTTAGTAGTTCGGTACGTAGTACGTACGTACTACCTACCTAACCGTCCGTACCGACCGGTACCCGTACCGTACGTACCGTCGTCGGTTCGGTTT